TCCTGCAGATTAGTAATTTCAGCTTTTAGAGCTGAAATAACAATAACCAACTCCTGATACAAACTGTTAGCAGTGAATAAAATTATTGTGTAAAGTGGCCCTGTGTAAAAAGATAGCTGCCAGGAAAATTATCAAATACATGTATTTCAAGGATTCAAAGTTATTATTGTCATGTCATGTATTATTGTCATCTGATCTGATACTCCCAATAAAAATGTATTAAGAATGCTGTGTGAGACTTTTTGTACTGAATTTGCTTAATGATACTAGGTTATTGGGGTGAAACATAATATGGTATTAGAATATATAGTGGGGATTATTTTGTAATGAATAAAGCTGTAAATACATAAATTACGTCTAAAGTAAGTCTATGTGTGACGTTAAAACGACGTCGACACCGACCATTTCCGGACTGTTTTTTCACCTTATACAGACGTCTTATAGTTGTCTGAACATCCATAACTGAACATCCAGAGGACGTCTAAAAAAGACGTCATAAAAACTTTCATTCTGCACCCTCTGAAGACGTCTTTTCTACGGTAGGCCAAGACGTCTAAAAGACGTCATTTCAACGTCATATTGTTTGCTGGGCTAAGTTGTCTGCAGCCTGTCCTTTGCAGAATTAAATAACTTGAATTAGCAAATTTTAACTTGAATGTTTTTGTTGTAACATTTACTGAGGTATTTAACTTGCTTCAGGGCAACATCTGGCTGCGTACTGGGTAAAATTCAATATTTTACCTGGATTTACCCTCAAACGGCCACTATACAGTATGTGTATCACATCTCTTCTACGGTGAAAAAAGTATGTTTTCTGTCTACACGGCCGTACATAATAAAATACAAACACATCATCTGCAAACAATATCTAAAAAAAGCATTTAAAACATGTTTATTATACATGAAGTTTAGATAAGTTTAGGAGGGCGTTTCAAACTGGTAGCCCTTCGTACCCATGAAGTAGCTCTCAGTTTCAAAAAGATTGGTGACCCTGGTTTATAGTCATGTTGCACGCAGTTTGGCCTGCGGCTTCAAAGACAATGCGACTTCTAATTTTAAACTCGCAATTTCTAGTTTCATATGAGTTGCAGTATAAATGCACGTTATATCTCTGTTGCCGCAGCTCTACAAAGGGGTAGTTTTTATACCGAATGTAGCGCATGCTCCTCTTATCGATCTTTCTAGAATAACTATATCATATAAATCATATAAATATACAAGTGATATCAGTAGTATTCAAGTATAAACGTCGAATATCACGTAAGCGTCCCTCCACCTGATAAATCTGCACGCTTCACACGGCATTTACTTTAGGAAAAAAGAATTGGCTCCCTCTGCTGGATAAAGGTGAAAATGTAAAATAAATATAAATATAAAATCATGCATAATTACATAAATTCAAATCTTGAAATGTTCTACCTTTTTGGTGTAAACATCCTGATTTTTCAGAAGTGGTGGAAAGAAAGAAACAGAATGAATGGTTAATATGCTAATTGCCGCGGATGATTTGCAGTGTTTGCCTGCAAGTTAAACATTTCACGGCGTCTTTTGGCGCAGACGGCTTTCCTTCGCTGGAAAACCCCTTATGACTTTTCGCGTATCATTCCTCAGTTGTGACCTTAATGAGCTGACAACGGCATGTCATTTACACCCCGTCTATCACTCTAGACATAGAGAAAGTCTGTGACTGACGCCTCCTGCTATTTTTGTTTTCGTTTTATGAAGGCTTTGCTTTCAGATTCAATCACCGCATTCTCCGTCCTTCCTAGCTGGAGAGCGAGCAGCAGCCGCCTGCTGAGATGCAGAGAGGAGGCCGCTGGGAGTGAAGGTGAACCAGGTCGCTCGTCTGAGTTACTGTAGGTCACACGCCGTATTTTTGGTCACACGGTTCTCTTTAACCCACAAGCTGGATTGTCTACAAAACCACTACTTCCTACACAGAAGCAAATCAACTATCTTTCGGCAAAGGTTTGAAACAGCAGCATATCAGTCCGTAAAACTGAAAAAGCACCGTGTTTCTGGCCGCAACGTAAATGCAATAATATGCGTGACATACACTGATAATCTGTAGATCCATCCATCAGTCTTTCTTTCTTTATGGTCGGTGTTTCTACTTAACACATTTTGAATAATCAGCTTTCGGTTAAAGCCAAGCATTCATATATATGTTTATTTTTAAGGCAGTTAAACAATGTAACATTAACAGATTGTATATATATATATAGACAAACACATACATGTATTTATATTTATGTATAAATATACAAAAAGCTTTATACAAAATCATAACCATTCATGAGTATGATTATATTGCACTAATTTACCAGCACCTTATTCACTGTGAATGTGTGTATATACACTCACCTAAAGGATTATTAGGAACACCATACTAATATGGTGTTTGACCCCCT